GTTAAAATTCTGGCATAAGCAACGGAGTGGGTCGTGCAATTCAAAATTGGTTTTACAAGCTTTCAGAAATATGGGACAAAAGTGTCTTGATACGCGTGAGGGAACATTAAAGCTTACATCAGCCAGATCTCATTCCAGCACGTTTGATATATCAGATCCGCTTTTCAGCATTAAGAAAGCGATACTCTCCTCTCTCAATAAGTGAATTATTGACATAAATACATAAAATCAGCTGATGAATTTAGTTCTGTAGCTGAACAGTTTTAGATCTCGACACTTAACAAACTCCTGCCTATCGTGACTCGGCACAAAAATTTAAAATATTGGTTCCGTACGTCATGCGGACTGCGCCCCTCGTGCGGATGGGCGGGAATGGAGGGTAAAAACCGTTGGGATATTATTATTATTATTATTATGTACATACATTCATTCGTTTATCCACCTTACCTGAATTACCGTTTTCCTCGGAATGTTCTTGTTTTGAACTGTGTTTGATTGCGGCGGTAACGATAAAGCCAGCGGCTCTTTTTGAATCAATTTGTTGTGTTTATTAAAATTAGTGGTATTTATTCTAACAAGGTCCTGTGATGTTATTTGTCTTTTATTTCTTGAGTTTGAAAAGAGAGTATTACATGAATGAGAGTCGTCTTGATTCGAAGTTATAAGTTGGCTGTCGTTAATATGGTTAAAATTCAAACGGACGTTTTTATTTTTATCCGTATACGATGTGCTGGCTGGATCTAAGGAATGAGTTTTAAAACAGCCTGGAGGTATATTCCCGCATTTGGTTTTATTTTCAATTTTCTTTTTATTGTGAGATGCAGCCAGTTTTTTCCAAGATAATGCACTAATAAAAATTGAATGCTTTTTCATACTTTTTTCTATAGTATTTTTTCCTGTAAAAAGAGCAGCATTTTCATTATGTGAATCTAGGTCATTATTAATTGCATCCTTAGTGTCTTTCAATTTATTGAAACTATAACTAGTCATGTGACTTTGGTTGCCCAAATTTATTCTTCCACACCCATTTTTGGCAAGTGGAGCACGAATGCTTTGTTTAGATTCTTGATTTTTTGCGTTATTCAACTGCTCATAACAAAAATTATTTAAATGTGAGTCCATTAAGCATGGGCCTTCAAGTATGTATTCATTTCGAATGTCAGACTGCTGATTATATTGAATGCTAGATTGCGATGAATAAAATGGATGACGTTCTCTTGGATTAAAACTTAATACTGTGCCCATCCTGCTGATTTGTAGAGGTCTGAAAATAACCAGAAACAATCAAAACAATATAACTAGTTAAATATAATAAATAAACGTAACCTCAAAATCAATACACATATAGACATATCTCTAGAAATTTCGATTTATGGAGATTATGCATAGTTTCGTAGGTATATGCACGGTTGTCTCATTTGGCCCATTTGGATCTAAACTGGTCCCATAGTTTTTCCTTGGTCCTTTGGATCCCATTTTTGCAAAATGGTATTTTTTCTAATTTATTAAACACTAGCTTTTACCCGCGGGTTTCACCCCACGCCTTTATACAAATATCAAAAATCTTATATATAAAAATAAGTGCACGTTTTTGGTGTGACCTCATAACTTGAGAACGGCTTCACCGAATTCAACCAAATTTATGTTGCATATTCGATCTATCATGCAGATGGTTTATGCGAAGTTTTCCCGAATTCGGAAAAGGGGGCGTGGCACCACCCATACTAACTAAAATATAAAAATAAGAGAACGGTTTTGTTGTGACCATATAACTTGAGAACGGCTTCACCGAATTCAATCAAATTTATGTTGCATATTCGATCTATCATGCAGATGGTTTATGCGAAGGTTTCCCGAATTCGGAAAAGGAGGAGTGGCACCTGTATTTTATATATAAAAATTAGTGAGTTAGCTTATAACTTGAGAACGGCTTAATCGAATTCAACCAAATTCATAAAGCATATTCGGGCCATCATGCAGATATTTTATGTGGAGTTTGCCCAAATTTGGAAAAGTGGGCGTGGCATATGTATCTTATGTATAAAAATAAGTACACGTTTTTGGTGGGAGCTTATAACTTGATAACGGCTTCACCGAATTCAACCAAATTTATACGGCATATTCAGGCTATCATCCAGATGGTTTATGTTAAGTTTGCCCGAATTCGTAAAAGGGGGTGTGGCACCTCCCATACTAACTAAAGTTTTTAATAATAATTCCATACTCATGGAGAAAAATGGGCGGTATTGGAAAAGAGGGCGTGGCACCTCCCATGTTATATATAAAAAAGAAGTGCAAGATTTCAACCAAATTTATATGGCATAGTCGGGCTATTATACAGATGGTTTGTGTAAGGTTTCCCCGAATTCGGAAAAGGGGGTATGGCACCACCCATACTAACAAAAATTTTCATCTGGTATATCTCTTGAAATATTTGTGGTAGATTACTCGAATTGGTATAGAGACATATGAAATAATTCCATACTCCCCATCTTAAATAAAAAAATAAGTGCACGAATTATACCAAATTTAAACGGTATATTCGGACTATCATGCAGATGGGTTATGTGAAGTGTGCCCGAATTCGGTCCAGCGGTTCATGATATATGACAGTTTATGTCTGTCACGTGAACCACGTATATGGTACAACAGCAGATACATGAAAAATCGAAAACATAGTGGCTGCGTTTCTTTATACATTCCGGATAATCCCATTTCACAGCCGGAATAAACAGAATGCGTTTGAAATATACGTCAACATATCAACAGGAACGTTCTAAAGAATAAATAAACAAAAAAGCTTATTCCAAACGTTCAGAATGAATAAAGAAATGCAGCCAGTGAAAAATTCTTGCTATGATGTGCTGTCTTTATTTTTTCTTCGGATAAATTAAGTCAAGTATAAACATGGCTGCAATATAGTTCTCAATTAGTACTTGATTTTTTTTTAACATATACGATTTAAAAACAACAAAAACAGATTGTTTTATTTCAACCCGGCCTTGAGCTCAAAAAAATCAATACAATAAATTGAATTTATTTCAATAATTTTGCACAAATTTGTTGCATCATTTCGTACGAAACGTTTCAAAACGTAGTGGAAAATTGTTGCTATAATGTGCTGTTTTTATTAAGTCAAATATAAACATGGCTGCAAATTTTTCAATAGGGATTTTGTAGAGCCAATGGAATGAAAGTCACCACAACACAATATATCTGTCATTTCATCGTATTATCGAATAGGTGGTGTACATTGATATTCGGTCTTTCTATTTTGGACTTTGAAGAATCAACACAATGCAGGATTTACGTGGAAATCAGCAGCTTTTTGGTGGTGCTTTGGTATTATTGCCAGGTAACTTTCAACAAACATTGCCCGTGATTCCACGATCAACACCGGCAGATGAGATCAATGCATGCTTGAAGTCTTCCCCTCTGTGGCGATATGTGCAAAAATTTACATTACACATAAACATTCGTGTTCAGTTGCACAATAATCGATTTGAAGATCGGTTCTCGAAGCAATTGTTAGAGATCGGAAATGGCAAAGTTCGAATCGATAATACAAATGGCTTGATTACATTGCCGAAGAATTTTTGTACAATTCTCCAATTAAAAGAAAAATTGATTGAATGCGTGTTTCCAAATTTTGCTCAAAATTACCTGTAACACGATTGGTTGAGAGAACGCGCAATACTGGCACCAAAAATGTGCATGTCAATTCAATCAACTATCAAATTCTAAAAAATTGCCAGTTGAAGAGACAACATATAAATCTGTTAACAGCGCAATGAATCAAGATGGCGCAGTGAATTATCCAGTTGAATTTTTGAATTCAATGGAACCGCCTGGTANTTTGCTCAAAATTACCTGTAACACGATTGGTTGAGAGAACGCGCAATACTGGCACCAAAAATGTGCATGTCAATTCAATCAACTATCAAATTCTAAAAAATTGCCAGTTGAAGAGACAACATATAAATCTGTTAACAGCGCAATGAATCAAGATGGCGCAGTGAATTATCCAGTTGAATTTTTGAATTCAATGGAACCGCCTGGTATGCCACCACATTGTTTGAATTTAAATGTCGGCTCATCAATTATCTTACTACGGAATTTAAACGCTCCAAAACTGTGTAATGGCACAAGACTGGCAGTAAAAAAATTGATGGCGAATTTAGTTGAAGCAACAATACTGACTAGCAAAGCGAAAGGTGAAATTGTGCTCATACCACGTATTCCACTGATAAAAGCAGACATGACGTTTGAATTCAAGCGTTTGCAATTCCCATTGCGTCTAGCATTTGCCATGTCCGTCAACAAGGCGCCAGGACAAACTCTTCAAGTATGCGGATTGAATTTGGAGGAGCCGTGCTTTTCGCACGTACAGCTATACGTGGCCTGTTCAAGAGTTGGCATACCAAATTGTTTATTTATTCATACCCAAGATGGAAAAACAAAAAATGTTGTATATCCCAAACATTTGTAAATAAAACAAATGATAAATCTTCATATAGAAAAATTCCAGGATTTTTCATTAATTTTTCAATATTTGAAGTAGAGAAGCACACCGGGGTACCGCTAGTACTTTATGTAAAAATGTTATACTCTCTGCTCTAATTTTACAATAGCCGTGATAGCAGCATATGGTAGGACAGCTGTATAGCTTGGGTGTTATGGAATGAAATGCAAAAATAATTTTTTGGCACTGCAGGTGTTTTTATTTAGGTCAAAATATCTCCAATAAACTATATAATAGAAGAAATACTATCGAATTTCCTACGAATAATAACTCTAATATGATTTTACAGAATTTTTTTACTGCTTCAAAGTATCTATTAACATAAATGCATTTTCCAATATAATTATCATGCATTTTATTTTCGATAAAATTTCGGGTTTTACTTTAAGGCATTCTTGTTTATTGTCATTGCAAAAGCTAAGCGTACTGGAAACTAAGATCTTTTAAATTCGAAAGGCATATCGAAAGGAATTAAAGGAGTCATGTGACTTGATGCTTCCTAAGATGTGGCCGATAAAAAATTCCACGCCTATATTATGTGCCACGCCCCCATTTCCAAACTAATTTATATAAACCTTACTATAAGCACCTACCATTGATATGTTTGCATACCAAATTTAAATTTTATGTAACTTATGGTTCCGAAGTTATGGCTGATTAAAAATTCTACGACTACGAAATATGCCACGCCCCCTCCTAAAAAGTTATTTATATATACCTTACTATAAGCATCTACCATAGATTTATCTGCATATGGTTCAAAGTTATGGCTGATTAAAAATTTGCAGGCCTATGGGAGGTGTCACGCCCCCTTACAAAATTGACACCATATTTGCAAACTAAACCATACCCATAACCTTCCCGGGCGTAAACAAATAAGTGTGCAAAGTTTTGTGCGATTCCGTTCAGTGGTTCAAAAGTTATAAACTAATAAACAAACAGACATTCTCATTTATATTTATAGAAGATAGAAGATTTAGTATTTTCTACTTTATTTTATATTTGAATAAAAGTTGTGAAAAGTTTTAAAAGAGAGTACCAATTCCTTTTGTTGTTGTTGTAGCGGCACTACGAAGCCCCGCCTATTTCCGATCAACATTCAGTCATTGTCGTTAAGCTCAACTAACGGTAGGCCCAGGAAACGTGGTGTTTCAATAGGGTCGAACCAAAGGGAGAGGGCTGTCAGTTAAGTCGGATTGAGCAAGCATGTGAAGAGGTGGTTGGTATCGTGCGGGGAGGCTCCACATGCCGGACACTCATTGGGGATGTTGGGGTCGAAACTGGACAGGTAGGCGGCTACAGTATCCAGACCGTAACTTAGCCTGGGTAACGCGGGTCTCTCTTAGCGGTTGAAGCTCCGTCTCTTCTACAGGTGGTGATTGGGATCCGACCACGGCATTCATAGGCCGGGAGTCGAGGTAGGTGGTGACTGACTCCCTATGAATTTCATCCAGCTGGTGAAGAAGGTCGCCGTTGATTTCGTTGGGGAGAGTGTTAGGCTCTTTGCAGTGAAAAAGCTAGAAAGGCTGGAGAGATAGCCGTTTCATTTTGAGCAGAGATCATCAATTCCATTCCCAGACGCCAATATCGAGCAGTCGTCAGCGTTCGAGATCAGGGAAACTCCCTCAGGTAGCTGAGAGAGCTTCGAGATGTAGAAGTTGAACAGTAAGGGAGATAGAACGCCACCTTTGTTTTATTCTTCTTGGTTTCGAGGTTTCATCTCTGAAGATTGCTGACGATTGCCAACCATTCATATAACGCGGGTCTCTCTTGGCGGTTGAAGCTCTGTCTCATCTACAGGTGGTTATTGGCCTCAGATCACGGCATTTATAGGCCTGGGGCCGAGGTAGGTGGTATCTGACTCCCTATGAATGTCGTTGATCACTTGTCTGTACGTTGTCGGGTCCAGTGGTTGGTCTAGGTATTTCTGGACTACGTCCTTGTATATGAATAGGTGCCCCCTGACCTGCCTGGGCGGAGCCTCTTAGCAGTGGTCTGCTGGGGTGTTCACTCCTGTGGCACCCCACCAGAAACTGCATACAAAGCATTTTGTTGTGCTCCCTTACGGGGTGAAAACAAATAGTGCACTGTTTTTAGGCAGTTTGTGCAGCCTCTTGGTAACTCGACGTTTGGCCTTGTCTACCGAAGACTGCAGTGCGAATTGCCGACTAAAGTAGTTCGCGCATTTCTTCGGGTCCGACGAAGCGCGACCTGCGGATGAGATTTCCCCTCTGTCATCATGCTTCTTCGGGTTAGACAAGGACCTCACGGTTGACCAGAGCTTACTCACACCAGAGGTGAAGTTACAGGCCTACAAGTTCTCTTCTTACTTTTTCCACTTATGCTGATTTAGCAGCTGCCGAATCTCCAAATTAAGGTCCTCCAGGCGAGGATCTCCGGGATCGACCTGGCGCAGGTGGTCACGCTAGCTGGTACAGCTGCTTCAGCCGGGAAATGTGGGTGGACTTCCGCGATGAAGCGAGCCGCTGCGGCAGTGACTACCCTGCGGAACTTGCGTTCGCCAGCATGTACGTCTGTGGGTGTAGGAAGGTCGGCAAAGCTGCTCGAGGTAACTTCTGCGAAGACGTTTCAGTCAGCTTTGGTAAAGTTGGTATAGGTTCGGTGGTCCGCGGGTGCACAGTCGGTGGGATTATTGTTCGAGATGATTATGGGCAGATGGTCTGAGGCAAGTGTTAGCATAGGTCGCCATGATATGCTATTTACCAGACCAGCGCTAAAACTTGTTAGGTCTGGCGAACTGCTGCACCTGTCGACAATCCTGGTGGGGGCGTCATTGTTCATGGTGAAGAATGTCGAATCGTCTATCTGCTCAGCCAGAAGGTTTTCCCTACGATCATTAGCCAGGCCTGAGTGCGCACCTATATCAGGGTGATATCCTGCCGGGAAGCAGGTGTTAGAGGGAATATACACGTTAAAATATTTCGAGCTAGACATCGTCTCACCGGACAGCTATGCCCTAACACTCTAGGGTAGTGTCCTTCGGGTCGATGTCTTCTTTGATAAGCCGATACTGCACTGTGTGGTGTAGGATGAATGATAATCCACCATCATTATCTCGCTCACGATCTTTACGGAGCACATTGTAGGCGGCGCAAGTTGAGTTGCTGTGCAACTTCGTTTCTTGGACCGCAGCTATAAATATGCCATGCCGACCCATAAAGACTGCTATCCCTTTAATCTTGTTCTGGAGTCCGTTGCAGTTAAGCTGTAAGAGTTTCGTATACTTTTGGAGGCTAGTCGCGATACGGGGGGTGATGGACGTGTGGGGTCTACTTTAATGGTCAAATATATTCGCTCAGCCAGAGCTCGACAATCAAACACGTCTTTTCGGTCTACAGTATGATAGCATACTGTTTTATTATAATATCTCCTTAGAAACTAGCACCGCCGCCAGATTATTATTTTTTAATTACATCGATAACAACTTATAACTATAAATTTCCTAAAGGTGCCACTACACCTCCCTTCCAAAGGAAAATAAGTTGGCAAGTATCACGGTTACAGCTTTCCTTTTTAAGGATTAATTGGTTTCAACAATGGAATTTCTAATGAATCAAATTTACATTCATTTGTTTATCATTATCCTTCCGGCCTTTAAAATTCCTTTATTCAGACCAATTCATAATATTAAATATCATATTATAATATTTAAATTTTCATTTTAATTCAGTTGTGGTTTGATTTGCAATTAGGAAATTAATTAGTTGGTTTTTCATTGCTTCTTTAAAACAGCCATATTTTTTTGAAATTATGAGCTAATATCCATATGGGACATTTCACATCAAGTGACACAACTTTTGAAATCGATGTCTCCCGATCAGGATGAAACTTGCACCAAGGTTAGTCCTAATAAATATTAGCTATGACAGAAAATTTCAGCGGGATCGGTCAAACACACTCCGAGTTGGAGGGTCCAGAAGTTTGACATTTTGGTCAAACTGTCCTTTTTTCGGATCCATATTACTAATTACCTATTGTATTTAGAAAATTTGTTCAGGAATGTTTTCGATAGCTTTCCCTTCAGTCTTTACAAATTTAATTTTTTTTGAATTAAAATAAATTGTTTTGCAATTTTTTTTTTAAATAAAAAATAATTTTAATGTTTTTTTTTAAAAGGGGTAATATTTTTGTTTTTTTTTTGCTCACAAGAAACCTTAGGTATTTTTCTTTAAGAGTTTTGTGGTCGTTTAGTGGGATGCGACTTGTTTATCTATCAAAATGAGCGTCTAGTAACTCGAAACAGCGTTTTTTTTTAATTTTTAATATATGACTTATTTTAATTTTTGTTTTGGTATTATTGTGTAGGTGTTTCTGAAACCTGAAAATAAAACTTATATGGGAAAGTATATACAATAACCTTTCCAACGGTATATAACATGCCTAACCATAGTTTCATACCCTCGATACTGCAAGTCCGGTAGTTAAAGATGACTAAGATTTTTCGTAGTAGCAGGTATTCGATTTTGTGCATCCAAACACTTTCTTAATAGCTTTTCAGAATTTTGAGTAATAGATTTGCATAATAATAGTAATAGATTGGCGCTTACACATATGTAAGTGTTTGGCCGAGCTTCTCCTCCGACTTGTGGTGTGCGCCTTGATGTTGTCACACAAAGCGGAGGGACCTACAGTTTTACGCCGACTCCGAACGGCGATTCTATTTTTATGAGAAGCTGTTTTTCATGGCAGAAATACACTCGGAGGTTTGCCATTGCCTGCAGAGGGACGACCGCTGTTAAGAAAAAACCTTTTTATATATTTTTTGCGATGTTGCCTTGACCAGGGTGCTGATGAGTGAACGCGTGCACTGCTTACCACTACACCACAGCGGCCGACAATAGATTTGCATACCTTCTTTTTTTGGAGCTGTAACCGCCGAAGCAATTTTGGCCGAGTTCAGCAAAGCACGCCAGTCGTTTCTCCTCTGCGCCAACTGACGCCAATTGGAAACGCCAAGTGAAGCCAAGTCCTTCTCCACCTGATCTTTCCATCGCAGTGGGGGCCTCCCTCTTCCTCTGCTACCACCAGCGGGTTCCGAGTTGAATACTTTCAGAGCTGGAGCTCCGGTGTTCATTCCAACGACATGGCCAAGCCGGCGGAGCCGCTGTATTTTAATTCGATGCACTATGTCCATGTCGATGTAAAGCTCATACAGCTCATCGTTCCATCGTCTGCGGTACTCGCCGTCGCCAA